CTGTGTCAAAGACACCAATTATAACGTCATCTCCCATTTTGGCATCATATAAGAGATTTGCTCGAGAATAAGGAGAGAGACCAAGGTAATCCCAGCTCCTTGTTGTTTGCACCTTGTAAAAGCTATGAGGTAGGACATGAACCACACCCGGTAACTCTACAGTAAATTAAAAGTTCGAAATTTCAGACGACATAGCAAAAATACATTTCATTGATAGAAAAATTATATGAGCCAGAATTTCCATTGATATACAAAAGCTTCTAATATGGTAAGGAATTATGTTGTTCTATGATCACCCATTAAGGGCACATTTAAAAGAAATTCAGTCTCTATATTAGTACCTCCAATACTTTGTGCTTGAGATTCTGTCAGTTTGGCTGCAAATCCAGAGAAGCCATGTCTGTAACTGTGTATCATCGAGTCGACCGATGCTTGTTTACTGTAGTTGAGGCATAACAGGTGATGTGTTGGATACATTGTTAAGAGAAAAAACAAAGAATCCAGGAAGTAATAACTAAACCAAATAGAACCTTCCAAGAATAGAAGCAAGCATATCATGATGGGAAGAAGTAATGAGCTCCACGTCGTCGTGTTTTCTTTCTCCCAAATAAACAATATAAACCTGTAAATATGTGAAAAACAGGAATTTTTTTCAGGGGTAGTACTTAGACGAAGGAAATATTAAAAAAACATGCACACATACACACATCAGATCAGATTAGCTATTACTTACTTGGATTTTAGCATCTTCATTTGCCAGAACAATGTTTTCCAAGTTGAAAAATAATATAGAAACCAAAAGAAGGAATAGGCTGCATTTGTTTTGCCCCATCATTTTGCATGCATTCATATTCTGCATATACAGGTCTTTTGTTATGCCCTCTCTTATGAGCCAAGCCACAGGTATATATACTAGTCTCTTCAGAGGTAGAGGTTAATGGTCCAACATCATAAAATATATAGGACTCGGTTTCAACGTTTAGGTCATTGTAGAGCATATTTAAAAATTATCAGTCAGTGTGAATATGTTTATGTTGTATCACTGCTTATAGAAGCAGACAATTCCTCGAAAGCTCTTCAGTTTATGCAAATGTGGAAGTCAATTTGTCTGATGGAGGATATTTAGGCTTGAATGTTGATTATTATTTCGATACTTATTGACGGTGCAAAATCTCAATGTCATATAATAACGTGAATCCTTATTTACGTTTATTTATTTATTTTTTATGTGCGGAATCAACACGGTGGAAAAATAATGGAGCTAACTTTTCAGGTGATATTTGATGTATTAGGTAATTAATAGTTGAGATCTCGAAATCTTAATGTTCGTTCTTATTTGTTATTTCCATTAGCATTTCCAGTTCCATAACATACAATCTAGAATATTTGGTTAAGTTTTGAGGTTGTGGCCTCTTTTAGTAGTGCGGTCAGCATTATGCAGAGGAGACTCGACCCCACACACCCACTGGTTTCGTCCAAAAATTCCAAGTACCGAACAAGCTACGAATTTTTGAAATCAACGACAGAAGCCGGAAACTTAAAAAACAGCTACAATAAACTTAATGCCAACTTTATGTGAGAAACGGGAAACTTGTAAGTTAATTTATAGTAAACATAACTAATTCATGAAAAGTTTTCTAAAGTAGATTCACAAACAATGCTCATCGAAATCTTATTATTCGGAACACGTAAACATATTTGTTTTGGGACTCAAATGAAAATATTAAGTCACCCAGCTTTTTCATAGCACACACCCTCATCTACCATCATCCACGTCTTAAGTAAAACAAATCAACCTATAAGAAGGGAATTAACTCATGAGTTGAAACTCAGATATCATCGGTGCATTTCATTATCAAATTATAAAATTTGAACTGTAGATTCATGCTGTCATACGTAAATGAATTTTCTGCGAAATACAAGTTGTATAGAATTATCAAACACTTAGAACTGAAAAATGATCATTCCAACTATAATAGTGTCGAAACACCGTACCTGAAGGCACCAATTCATTCATACTTTAACAAAAAATCATAATTTGAAACGAAATAACCACATACACCTCTACCTGAATTCCATGTAATAATATGTTACTGTTGAAACACGAAAGAATTTTTTACACGTAAATCGAAAACTTTTTCTTACTTTTTAATTACACACTCTCCAAAAATACTATTCCAAAACACATTTCTTTCCAAAATGGGGCTCAAACAAGAGTTTAATCTTAGTCAAATTTTTGTATGGAACATTGATTAATTGTTTTATGCCCTTTCTTATGAGCCAAGCCACAGGTATGTATCCTAGTCTCTTCAGAGGTTATAGTGCAATTTCGAATGTCAAGGTTAATGGTCCAACATTAGAAAATATCTATGACTCAGTTTCAAGGTTGAGTTCATTGTACGATTATTCCGTTCGTACAATTATTTACAAATTATCTCAGTGGGAATATGTTAACGTCCTTTCATTGTAGGGAATATAGATAGTACAGACAGCATTATGCGGACTCGACCACACACACCCGCTGTGAGTTCAATGTGAAAAACGCTGCCCACTTTACAATATTGTTTATCGCATCACCCTGACGTCAATGACAAAATAAGGGTATTATTGACAAAAAGGCAAAAAAGCTAAAGGGACAAAATGGGAAACTAAATGTTCGTGTCTTATTCAAACTTAGGTAATTATATTACCACCACAAAATTTATTAAGCACACCACATTATATCCACACCACAATTAAAACATGGTTTTAATAAATACACCACAACAAATTTACAATTATATACCTTATTTTAAAAAAATAAAAATAAAGAAGAATTCAGAATTTTAATAAATACATCACAACTAAATTTCATCTTTTTCTTTACTTCCAAACATTTCTTTTCACTGTGTACTTTTTATTTTACATGCATCCATAACTAAATGGACTGGGCAAGAAAGAAGTAGAAAACATTGCCAATTTCTTCTCATCCACATTATCAAGAGATATGGGTAAGGTTTTATATCTGTGTCTTTATTCATTTTGATGAATGAGGATTTCAGTAACATAAAGGGCCTTAGCGAATGGAAGATTAGACTCTCAAAATTCAAGAATTTTGACTGAAGAAGAAAAGAATTGTTCTTTTAAAGAATTGCATTTTGCAATTATGAGATCTAACGAATTGTGAAGAATATATATAAACAAGAGCTTAATCTTAGTCAACATTTTGTATGGAACATTGATTAATTGTTTTATGCCCTTTCTTATGAGCCAAGCCACAGGTATGTATGCTAGTCCCTTCAGAGGTAGAGCATAGTGCAATTTAGAATGTCGAGGTTAATGATCAAACATTAGAAAATATCTATGACTCAGTTTCAAGGTTGAGTTCATTGTAAACTTATTCCGTTCGTACAATTATTTACAAATTTTCTGTCAGTGCAGACAGCATTATGCGGACTCGACAGATGTGAAAAACGCTGCCCACTTCACAATATTGTTTATCGCCCTGATGTCAAAAAACTACTGATAATATTAGGTGACAGCATACAACAAAACTAACCTACGAAATACTTTGTTGGCAACGGTATTTGCAGTTCTTTATCTGCGTTGATTGCGGAAGTTGGTAGCACTGTATTGTAAAATTGGTAATCTTTACTGAAATAATTGCGAGATTATCCTTCGTGCTCATCTTAACGGGTGCGGTGTTCCGAGCACTCCGATCAGTGTACGCTATCTGCAAAATGAGGTCAGAGCTTTTTCCCCCGTTGTACCTCCAGCTTGAGAATCAGTAGTCGGTTTAGGTTTCAAGAAGAAATTACCTTTCTCACCTTGGAGTTATTTATAGGTAGACATGTCAAAACGGGCCAGTCCGGACCGGCCTGCACACTAAAAAGC